AGAGGGCCGGAAGGAATGCTCCTTTACTAACCCTGGGCAGCACTTCATCTGCAGCCAAACATGCAGAGAACTCAGGAGATAATTCCTCAAGAGAATCTTGTATATTATTCATGCTTAAACACTAGAAGAGATAATTCCTCAAGAGAATCTTGTATATTATTCATGCTTAAACACTTGCAGAATGATAAAATAAAGGGAAAATACAGGAAAGAGAATAACTACATCAAATGAATGTGAAAACAGATCAGAATCACAACTAAAAACAGAAGTCTCAACAAGACCTGGGAAATTCGTATATCTAGGATTTCAATTCTGGAATGAAATATAAGTGAAATAATTGGCCTCAGTGAAAAGTCACTGTGCTGCAGTTTGTGCAGGCTGGTGCAGTCCCCCTGTGTGCCAGACTCATAGGAACGAGAGCTGGCTGTCCCTACCCACAACTACCCTATCCTACACCTCCATGTTAGAGGTCTCTGTTAGCATGACTCCCTGGGTAACATCACCCCCTTTGGGGCCACTCCACTTGTACGAAATAATTTATTTGGGCTTTCTTATGGTAAAAGGGATAATTAGCAGTTACTTTGTAGCACAAAGTATGATGCTCCAAGCTGATTTTCTGAAAGTGCCTTTAATGTAGCACCTGCATCATCATGTTTGTAAATTAGGTAATTGTACATCTAGCCACTTATGTGTACGAGAAATTACTCTAATTTGCATATGCAAATAAACAATCTTGTAAACCTTTGTTTTCTTCTTGCTTTTGTTATGCTCCCCTCCCCCATTCTGTAAGTTCATAGAGACCAGATTTCTGAAATACCATTTTATTAAACTACATTTATTATTTTTTTCAAGCTATTTTACTTCTAATACCTCCACCTGATAATATAATATAGGGAAAGTTAGAAAAACCTGTTAGGTTTCTGCTGATTCAATTATATCACCGCTTTACTTGTAGTGCTTGTTCTAAAACTATTTTAATCAACATTTTCTGCTCCCTTAAAAAACAAAAGAAACCTCACAACAGAAAACAAACAAACAAACAAACAAAATGTAATCAGGAGTCTCCAGCTCTCACCTAGTTCAAAGTGCTAATACTAAGAAATGCTAATATAATTAGAACAGGGATTTGGTAGGCTAAAAAATAATGGTTGATCTCATTCAATGGTTTTTAAGCTTTGTGCAAAGAGTTATACCTTGTTTCCTTACCCATTTAGGCCTACATTAGTCAAAGTACCTGAATCCCTATTTAAATGCTAATCTTTCCATTACTCTACAAGATAGAACAATTTTAAATGCATTACTGAAAATGTTTTGAAAGATATGCAAAGTTGTATTCAGGACTACATTAAAAATTTGCATTACATCTCAAATGTATACAATCAACATGAAGAAAACCTTTAAAAGTCCTCACTAACTTAAGGCAAAATAGGTTAAGTGCATAATTCGTATTCTATTACTTGGGTAATTAAATTTTAGAAAAAGTTTAGCTTTGTTTACTATGGGATGTAACTGAAAATATAAAACTCTTATACTAGAAAATACAGCATCACTTTGAAATCTGTTGTTTTAGATCTAAAATGTCCCCGGGTTCAGAAGAGGGGCTTTTGGAAGGTGATTGATTGTACAACAGAGGTACAGCACTCATCAGTGGATTAAGCCACTAAGGAGGTGATAGCTGTACAAGTTGTTAGAAGATGGGCCCAGAGGAGGAGGCAGATCATGGGAGCGTGCATCTGAGGGTGTGTCTCTGGATCTGGCTTTTTTCCCTCTCTGCTTCCAATGGTTGAGAAACTTTCTTCTGCCTGCCCTTCACCATGCCATTTCTGCCCTGGAGCCAGCTGGCTACATACTGAACCCTCTGAGAATGTGAGTCCAAACAAACCGCTTTTAGTTATGGGTGTCAGGCATGTTCTCCAAGTGACTGGTAAGAAATCATAACTTTTTTAAACTATGAAAATATACAGTTTCAGATGATGAAAAGATTATTGAAAATGCTATTTCACATTTTGGAAGGCTCCCATAATACAGTTAATAGATGCAGATGAAACAGTTTATTTTTCTCACTCATCAATCTTCATTAAAATGCTAGATAATGAGTGAAAAGTATGAACCACAAAGAAAAAAAGAGCAATAGACAAAAGATTTCAGTAAAATTTTACAACCTGGAAGCAGATGAACAAGTGGTAACTTGATAGAGAAAACTTTTGTGAATAACCAAGACCTACAAAATATTAAGAATATGTAGAATGACTTCTGCTGTCTCTAACAGCAATCTGCTTTGTTTAGCTCAAAATTAACAGACACTAACCATAGAATCAGACATCTGGCCTCATCCTGAGATAACAGGGTGCATCAAGACCCCCGAGATCCAAAGCTTTGTAAACCATGTGATTGTAAAGGTGAAGATGAAAGAATCATTGTTAACTTTGCTTTCTTGCCTGGGAATACCCCCTTCCCCTGGACTAGAATAGATAGCTAGGCAAATCCTTAAAGAATTGCTACATCTGGATTAAAAGTTAACTGTCTTGTGATTATGATTTGTATATCAATAAATGTAAATGGAGGAAATACAATACAACCACCTGAATGAGATCATGGCTATGAAACCCTATAAAAGAAGGAGCTGTAACACAGCATGTGGTCGATCTCTGCCACTGCTCTTGGTGTGATCAGCCTTTTGTTGACAGAATAAACCTTTTATTATTTTACTTCCATTATGCATCTCTCTGTGCATGTCACTTACCAATTCCTTCCATAACAAACTGATCTAGCAAAGCAGAAGGAGCCACAGGCAGAAGTACTTGATGAGGCTCTTTGGGGAACCACGGCAGTGGAGGTGAAGCTATGGCTGATAAGGGGCAGAAAGCAGTGGGTAATTTGGAAATCTCTAAGCCAAAGACTCAACATGAGACCCTCTTTTCTATTGCACTTCAGAGTGTCCACCTCCCGACCCTGCCAGGTAAGTGAGGGGAGGTTCTGCTCCCCACAGAAGTGGAAGTAGAAGGACTCAAGATTTGGTGACAACAGCAGATTGCATAATAGGAATCAGGCAGGAATGTTCAAAATTAAGAACATAGATTATTAAATGAGAGAGTAGAGCTCAGCCATATTTTTTCAGGTACTAGAACCACAACATATCAAATGTACACCTGTTCAGGAGGAGGTGGCACAGTAAACTTGATCTACGTTTTTACTACTTTATATCTGACCCTTTTGTACTGCCTGCCTTTTCATTGTTGCTGTTTTTGGTTTTTGAGATGGCATTCACTGTGTTACCTAGAATGGCCTCAACCTAGTCTCCAGCCATCCTCCTTGTCCCAGCCCTCTAGGTAGCTGGTTCTACAGGTGTGCACCATCACACTTAGTTTCCTCTTAAAATTAAATTTATTTTAACAAATACATAAAAACTGACCATATTAACGTGATTCCATGGGATTTTTCAAAACATGAACATATTATGTAATGTTTAAATCAGTGTAAACATAGCTATTTCCTGAAACTTTTAGAATTTCTTTATAGTGAAATAATCAAAATCCTTTCTTCTAGAATTTTGAGGTGTACATGTATAAGTGATATCTATAACCAATAGATACTGTACAAAAGCAAGAAGAATGACATATACCTATTTGTACCTGATACCCATCGATCAATCTTTCCCCATGTGTTCTTCCTCCACACTCTCCCATCCTCAGGTAATCACTGTCCTGCTATCAACTTCTGTAGGACTGACTTTTTTATATTCCACATAAGAGGGAGATCATGCAGGACCTGTCTTTCTGTGCCTGCATTATTTCATCTAACACAACTATCTCCAGTTCCACCCATGTTAACACTATCTATGTTTTATTAACCAAGTGAAATTATTTTCAATGGAAAAGAAAAAAAATGATAGGGCTGTATTTCCAATTGTAGTCGGTGAAAAAATAGGATAATTTCATAAGTAATACTGCCAATCACTTTATACAAAAATGAGGTAAATGTTAAGAATGGTATTTTCATAGTTTCAAATATTTTCTACAGTGATACTTTATTTGTAGAATCATTTTAAAATTATAGTAGAAAAATATATAGTAGGAAAATGATAAAATTTATATATATTGTGCTTGTAATGGTTTGAATGTTTCCCTTCCAAAATTCTGGCTTTGAAACTTCATGCCCAATGAGACAGTAATAAGAGGTGGAGCCTTCAGAAGAGATTGGGCCTGGAGAATAGTTCCTTAGGGCAAATAGGATCAAAGCCAATACACAAAAGGCCTCACACAGTGCTAGGCCCCTTGGCTTTCTGCCTTCTGCCATGGGAGCTCCCAGCTCCATTCTGCAGGAGAGAACAACTCGCACCAGACAACCAAACCTGATGAAGCCTTCCAGAAAACGGAATTCTCCCAAGACCGGCATCACCGTGTGGGGGAACTCAGCACCCCTCCTTGTAGAAGACAGGCAAACACTAGAAATTGACTCTCAGGACTTGAAAGGACAGACTCCCTAGCTTCCCTGTGGTAACTTATTCAGTATAAATACCATTTCTGGTGAATTTTCTTCCTCATAAATATAAACACCTTATTCTGTAGTTAAGTCATTAATATTCAGTAAAGACAGTAAAAGAAGATTGCAGTTATTTTTCTCTAATGAAGTCTCACTTAACATTAATTTTCTCTTATTTGCTGGCACTTGGGCCAGACCCTTGGTCACATGTTAACTGAACAAAATATAAATGAATAAATAAACATGATAATAAAATCCTTCTGATAATTTGTTTTTTAAAAAATTTTCTGCCTGTCTCTTCATTTCTTTTTCACTGTGGACTGATGTCCCTTCAATCATTCATCATGTTTGTACATTTTAAATTGCCCAGCGTACACATTACAATGACAAGGCCATGACTGGACACAACAATTCTATGGAGGAGAAGTGTTTTACGGTGCCGAAATTACATAAACATGAAGCCATTCCAGGGTCACACTTCAAATGTCTACCCGCACAAGTAGTGGTGAAACTCTTACCTCAAGGACCAGCCACAGCTTATCTCCATTTATTTTATCCTTCTTAAAGTAAATCCCATAGAATTTGACCACATTAGGGTGGTCAGAAAGCGCTTTTAGAATGTTATACTCGGCTTCAATCTCTTCATCGATGTCCTAGTTTCAAAAAATCATAAGAGAACTGTGAGAAAAATACTAGTAATGTCAAGTGAACATATTAGACTTTCAAACAGGATTCAGTTTGTTAAGCCACAGTCATGATAGTTTTTAACTATGATTAGTACTGTGCACCGGAATTTCTCTTTACATTACAGAGAAGATTTTTGTGCTAATCAAATGCATTTCGAGTTATATTAGTTTAATTGAATTTTAAAAGGAAAAAGTAAAAGGCTCTTTTTAAATGCAACTGAATTTTGCTTTTAATATGCAGGTGTTGCTTTCACTGTATTAATAACTTGGATACAATGACAAAGCCTTGACTTGAAATAAAAACATTCAAGACTAGAAAGTTGGTTTATTTTGTTCCTTTGAAATACCAGATATTTAAAAACTATAAAAGACCAGTCATACTGCTGCCTGCCTCACAAGCGCAAGGGCCTGAGTTTGATCTCCGGTACCAACAAAACAAAACAAAATAAAAAAAACCCACTCATATAAGCAATACATCCCTACTTTTCAAAAAACCGGAAATGAAACATGGAATATAAGCTTTGCTTAACTAATGCCCATTCACCAGAAGGAGAATGGGTTGCCATTTTGCATGCGTGCCTGTGTGTGTGTGTGTGTGTGTTGGTGTTACTGGCAACTGAACCCAGGGAAAACTGGGATGCATCCACAGCCCTTTTGATGTTTTTTATTTTGAAACAGAGTCTCACTTTGTTACACAGGCTGCCCTGGAACTTGAGATCCACCTGCCTCAGCCTCCGTATGGAGGTGTGCCACCAACCCCAGCAGTTTGCTATTGTAATAAAATTTGCAAACTAGTCACTTAGTCATCTTTCTAGCAAATCACATATGCAAGAAATAACTCAGAGCAATAAGAAAACCTTGGGGCCAGGGGTTTAGCTCACTGGTTTCACTGACTGCCTCGCAAGAGCAAGGACCTGAGTTTGATTCTTGGTACAAAAAAAAAAAAAAAAAAAAAAATACCCAAAGATGAACAAGGAAAAACCACTGACCTTTTGCAGGTCTGCCACAGCTGGGCAGATTTCCCTAAGGACCGTGGCCCCTGCAAGAGCTGGGGTGCCGGACTTGCTCTCACTAGAAATGGGGTGTGTGTGGGCCCCGCTCGCACGTGCTGTGGGAGCACAGGGACCTCCCAGCAGTTGAACATCCAGCACCCTCACAGTAGTCAGGGCTGCGGGGCAGGGCGCTTGCCTTGCACGACAAAGTTCCGACTTCAACGATACAACACACACAAGAGCCAGAATCATTTCCACCAAACTGAACGCTCATGACCTCCCCGTGACACTAGCAGCAGGAGGAGGAGGCTCAGGAGGAGGAGGCTCGGTGTTTCCCTTCACCACGACCCCTGTGAGCGCGGGGGGCCACGGCCGGAGCCCCACGTGAGCAGAGCCCAGGGCTGAACGAGGGGGAGAGCGGGGTTCAGCCCTTCACAGTGAGGACCCTCCTGCTCTTACAGAGCACCGACCCTTCAGCTCCGGAAATACTAAGTGAACCTGAAAATGAATCTCCCTTCTCTGCAAGAAATTTAGTTTAATAATAACAATAAAAAATCTCTTCACTTTAGCTTAAGAGAAATTCTACCAGAAGAGTAAGTAAATGTGGGAAGAAAAGGAAATCTGGGTAAGGTGACATTCATAGTTACAGCTTGACTAGGAGTTTATATTTTTTACTATTTTTTGAGATTCTAAAATAACATTGAATGAACTACTGAGCTACTAAGATCTGCATTTATTTATGCGATTATGTATATATTCACTGTTTATCAAGTACTTGCTGTGTCTTATTACATAGAGGACATTAACAAAATCAAACAAGTAGGCTTTAACATTTTTTCAAATTGTAACTTGCGTTAGAAAGACTGTAATAAATGAATCAATAGAAGATGCTTACAAACTTTGAAACTGTTTAATACAGATAAAAATAGAGTTAATTCGGTGGAAAACAGTGGCTTACGTGAACTGGATCCAGAATTTTGACTGCTGCTTTTTGGCCATTTTTCTTGTTCAATACTTTAAAAACTTTTCCGTAAGTTCCTTTGCCGATTGTTTCGGTTATTTCCCATGTATCAGAAGGATCAGGAAAATGATCAAAGATGACTGTCTTTCCAGTTAATGGGAACATCTCAAAGACTTAGGTCACTGGGGAGAAAAAGTGCAATTTCATTTGTATTTGATTAGGGAAATGAAATGGCACATGTAAACTATGAGAAATTACCTAATATTTTTATTACTATAATAGAAAAAAATGCAACTGCACCGAAATGTACTTTAGAGCCACAGACAATTTTAATTTCTCCCTTGCAAGTGGGTTAATATGAGATTAATGATGTTTCAAAGCAGGGCTTTATTTCTACATTTAATATAGGCTCCTATTAATTGCTATTAATTCCTTTCAAATTAAAATAGAAGACATTTATGTCATTTTAATTTACTTCTTTAAATGCACAGATTACAATGAATTGAAGAATTTTACAATAACCTTAGAGAAAATAAAGTTCAATTTTTTCACAAAGGCTGACGTTACACTTGATAAGTGATAGTGTTTTACGTTAAAGCTCCATGTAGTACCCAATAATGGGTCCTTACGTGCTTTTAAGATATAATTTTCTCACCACACCCCACCAAGCCCTGTAAAGGTCTCCTCGCTTCCCGCCCCAGCACAACGTCTCTCACACCAGGACGCAGCCCCTCTGGACCCCCCTCTCATTTCTTTCTCCCTGGAGGGTCTCAATAGCTACACCGTCCCCTCCACTTCTGCCTTCGGCGTCCCCACTAAACTCCAATCCCATCTTTCCCGTCTCGGCCTAGGTGGCGCTTGTTCCGGAGGCGGCCACACTCCACCCGCCTGAATCGCGAATCGCGGGCCCTGCATGTGGGCCCCAAAACCACTCTGTGCTGCTCTCTGACACCTTTCCCGTAGGCCCACCCCCTGGAGGGTGCAGAAATGATTACTAATTCATTAAAACAAATGAGGTCATTGGCTGCCATTGTCGCCAGTAACATCAATGTCTGATGTCATTACAAATACAAGAAGGATATCAGGTATAATAAACGATATCAGATATGATTGATGATAGCAGATATTATTTACCTAGATGATACCAAATATGGTTGTCGTGTGCCTGACACCTTGTACACTGCTGAGATAATTAGTTAATCAATAAATTAAGGGAATGTGGTCAGTAATGTCAAGTCACCTCACAAAGGAGATTATAGATAAACAAAGAGCCCAGATTTTGATCCAAGTAATGCTTTTAACTTTCCATGCTTTTCCTATATTCCATTCAATTATTTCTATAAAAGAGGGTTAAAAAGAGAAAGTGCTCTCTATGCTTTCAGAAACCCTCCTATTTTGTCAGTTATACAAACACACACAGTTTTTAATGTTAGAGATTTGATTGCAGTTGCATTTGTATGCACGGAGACATATCTACTAATTAATCGTCTATTAATGTATTAATATTCCATGCTGTCAAGCCGGGAGATTTACCTGTGTGACCACGTCGACCTCACACGCAGGCCAACCTGTCCCCCCTTGACCGTGAGGCTCCACCCTCTCCCGTCCTCACTTCTGACTCGTCTTCCCTCGCCTCAGAATTGACCTCGCAGGATGTATTCCTGTGATCCCCCTCCCTTCTCTTTCTTCACCACACTCTCCTAGGGGCAGGGCAGTCTACCTCACACTGCCTCTTCTCAGAATTTTTTCTCAGATTTTCCTTCTTTGTTGACCGCTCCTTCCCAAAAAACTTCACAACTGATGGCTCCATTTCATTAGTAACTGGAAAAAAGGTGCAGAATAAATTTCCCGATCATCTCACTCCAAAAACTACAAATCAGTATGCATGAAGGATAGGGAGCCCATTCATCTCCCTGGTAGTGTCTGCCCCTGGGCCTCAATCAGTCCTTTAGGTCCTCCCTCCATCATTTGAGTTTCAGTGCAGCTGTGACTTCTTAAACTTTTCCTGACCAACCTTCATAAACTTAGCCTCCCCACTCAACTAATACTCTTCCACGTTTGTGTGAGCCATGCAAGGGTGCAGACTTCTGTTATTCTACTACTGTATCCACAATTCTCAGAATTATGGCAAGCATATATTGTGGCTAGCACAGTCACAATGTTCATTAAATGAGCATATATCTGTTTACTGGTAATTCTGACAGCAGGGACCTTATCTATCATGTTTACTTGCAAATCTAGTAAAGCTTATAGCTGTTCATGAAACATTGATGTTGAATGAATGAATAAATATGGTTCTTCAAATGAGAGTTTTTTAAGTAGGAGAGAGAAAGATTATGGAGAATTGAAAGGAGTCTGAAAATCTAAAGCAAACTAGGGATCATATTCTGATTAATTATACTTAAGGGCATATCATCCAGTAAATGGCTATGAATGTCTTCTAAAAATTATATCGGTACATAAAGAGATGCTTCTCACTGGTTCTTAGAACACTTAGTCTTTATGAAATTTGTGCCTTTGATCCAAAATGCAAAGAGGTAATCAGTAATAATCACCCTCTTTAACAATTTCATAATCAGCGACAAAATAACTACTTCTCACATCTATCCGCCTGAGTCATTCAAATAAGCCTTTATGTGATTTATATAATACAAATTTTAGACCTAAAGACCAATTATACCTTGTTAAATGTCTGAAATAGAAGTTTTCCACCAGGAGAAACATTCATTACATGAAATACTGCCTTTCCAACGTAATGTTATTGAACACAAATTTCATTTCTTAGATATTAACTATTAGAAGTTAATTGTTGTTTTTTCAAATTACAGGTAGTAAAATGACTGAACATCAAAGGTGTGAGAAATATTTTAATAACTTTGGGAAATCCAAAGCTAGGCCACATGTGGATAGGTTAATAAATATGTTACCATCACATACTATGAAAAGTGATAATTGATACATGCATAGAGTGCTACAGCAGACCAAGGGACAAAGCAAGTAATTCTGAAGTGCTCAGGAAAAGATGCAGCGAATAAGCAAACTATAAGCTGGATAAAAAATGTAATTTTTCTCTTTAACAATATTTAATCAGACAAATATTTAAAATAGTGCATCACTGTTATAAAATGTTATACAACAATGACCACAGAATTACAAAAACACAGGCAAAAGAATATACCTAATCAAATCCCATTTAAAACAAACACAACTCCCAACAAGTTAGTAAAATGAAGTCACTTAAAATGGTTCCTTCAAAATCATACATTAAAGAATGTTAACTATTAGACTAGAAAGAAGTCTTTTGACTCAAACTATATTGCTTCCACCACCAAGCTATATATTTCTTAAGAATAAAATGTCACAGTAAGTAAATAGTTAATTATCTAATGACTACAGTAAACTGCATTCTCCATAATAATGAATGTTCATGTTTTGTCTAATCCTTAGCAATTGCAGAACAGAAAATAATTCTCTGGCAATACAATTAAAAACACATAATTAAGTTCTTAATTATAAGATCATATAAGCCAACAAATGTATGTATGTATGTATGTATGTGTGTGTGTGTGTATATGTGTGTGCGTGTATTTTAATATGTCTATTATCCAAAGCTTGAAAATATATTTGCAAAGCCACTTTTTAAAAATGAAGACTGACATTTTAATTGATTTGTTATATATAGAGCTTTGGAGGTTTTTCCTCAAGAAGCAATAACTATGAGAAAAGGAAAAAATGGGAACAAAGTCTTTGTTAAAAGGGAAGGGTGGAGGGATTGAAGGGAGGGCAGGGGAGTGGGGCAAAACTAACCACCAGTATATATTATGTACAGGTACAAATTCCCAATGAAGAATGTCAGCGTGCTGTACACCTAAAATCAATGACTGAAAAAAAGAAAAAAATGACCACAATATAATAAAAAGTATAGTATTATAGGATCTTAATATTCATCTAAACAACTATTCTGCTGCTTTTGTAAACCTTCACTTAATTCTTTAATAAAATAAACAAACTTTACGGTCACTATTAGAGAGGAGCCATGCTGACACTTTGGGGCTGTCTTCTGTCTCCTCTGCCTAGAGCTTCTCCAGATACCCCACTCCTGCTCCTACTTCTCTGAAGTCTTACACTGCCCACCTTCTCAGAAGGTCCTACCCCGGCCAGTTTATCTAAAATCTTTAATGCCCTTGTCTACTCCATTCTGACTCCCAACTCCTGGTTTCCCCTACCCTGCTCAACTCTGGCAACACTTATACCCTCCTAAATACAACTCAACTCTCTGTCAGCATGTTTTATTGTCTTTCTCTGTCACTGGACTGTAAGCCTGTGAAGACTGAAATTCTTGTTCACTTTGTAAGACCATGCCAGAAACAAAGTTGCATCTCCATAAATTGTTGCCAAATACTAAATAGAAATGAACAGAAAAATGCAAGCAGAAAAATTTCAAATGGTTTCAACAATTAATTCTATCAAATATTTTAAAAAAGAAATGATGTCATCAATTCATTTTTTCAAAGAATAGAGATGGAACTCTTGAAAGTATAATCAGAGAGATCACATGAAATCTGATAAATTTATTAAATAGAGCTAAATAGAAATTCTAGTTATGAAAAGTTGACTGAATTGAAAATTTCACTAAAGGAGTTCAATAGCAAACTATTATTATTATTATAACTTATTTTCTAACTCCACCTCTTTATCTTCTACATGATTGAAAACACAAATGCATAAAAGAGTTATAAATCTATGTCAATAGGTACATAAAAAGACATAATCTGTGACATCAATAACAAAGTTTGGGAGACAGCTGTAAAAGAGTAGAACTTTTAGGTGCAGTTGAGTTATATTGGTACCAGTTTGAAATAAATTGCTACAGTTTTAGAATGTTATAGGTAAGTTCCATAGAAATCCCAAAGAAATATCTATAAAATATACACAAAAGGAAATGAGACTGGATTCAAAGGATAGCATTACAAAAATCCCCTTGAAAATCATGGCAAAACTGGAGTAAATGCATGACAAAAATGCTGTACCATGTACAGAAAATATTATTCAAAAAGTAAGAATAAGCCTTTCCTTATCAGTGTTTTGAATGTAAATGGGTTAAACTTTCTAATAAAAGATGGATTGACAGAACAGGGATAAAGAAACTCGATCTGATCATATGC